TCACGGGCCAGGTATGGGATTTTTCTTTTGACCTTTACTTCCTCCTTAGGTTAGGCTCTTGGCTGACCCCACAGGGGCCTTTGGGAAGGTGAGTGTACCCTTGCAACCCCCACCCTAGAGGGCGATCCCTCTGCCGGGCTTTGGATACAGGAACTTGGAGGCTAATATGGGGAGCCGCTGGGTGTGTGTGGGGTGGGGTGGGGGTGCTTGCTCTGTTCTGGAAGTTTCTAGGTCTTGTCTCTGCCTTCCCTTTTAGGAGACAGGTTTGTTACTAGATGATTCACTGGTGTCTCTCTTTGGAAACCGACGGCTCCAGAGGTAAAAGCAGGAGGGTCCCCCTGTGGGGTTCCCCTGCCGCCCCTCCAGTCTCCATTCCCAGCCTCCAGGCCCAGGCCGCTGCAGTTGGCCCGGTCTCTCCTTCTGGCAGGTTCTCCATGGTGGTAGAGGATGGCGTAGTGAAGTCCTTGAATGTGGAACCGGATGGTACAGGCCTCACCTGCAGCCTGGCCTCCAACATCATCTCGCAGCTCTGAGACCCTGGGCCCAGACATACTCTCTCTCCCCTCCCCAGTCTCACCTGTGCAGCCCCGGACAGAGGGCTCCAGTCCAAACCCAAGAGGGGCCAGTTCCCGGATGGGAACTTGGACCAAAGTTCTGCAATAAACATTTCTCGTTCACCTTTACTCCTTGGTTGTGTATTGCTGGTTGGTGAGGGCCAGGCCTGACCACAGTCACGGCTGTGAGACTGTGGGCAGGGGCTGAAGGGGTGCTAATGGGGGACCCTGATGGAATTGAGGAGACAGTCGGGGAGAGCCTTTGAGTGAAGTGTTAGGAAGCAGAGAAAGGGCCAGTGGTCTGAAACCCAAGGGAAAGAACGGTCAGTGCAGAGGGAGTATATCTGGAAGGGGTCTAGGCGGACAGAGCTTGGCTCGCAGCCATGGTTTGATCTCTGGGTGTTGGCTGATCTCACTTAAAATGTTTATCTATTTACTTCTGAGAGAGGAGAGAGAGACAGAATCCGAAGCAGGCTCCAGGCTCCAGGCTCCGAGCTGTCAGCACAGAGCCCAACGCGGGGCTCGAACGCACAAACCGCGAGATCGCAACCTGAGCCAAGCCGGGCGCCTAACCGACTGAGCCGCCCAGGCGACCCTTGGCTGATCTCATTCAGACCCTGAACCTTAAGGTGGGAGCTTTGGCTCGAGGCACCCACACCACCTGGGCCAAGCTTTAGCCCCACCGTTCTCGTAGATTCTGTCGAACCCCTCCCAGGAGCACCCTCAGCCCAAAAGGGCTCTTGGCGCCTTGAGACCACCTGACGGGTACAAAGGGCACCGTCTCTGGGGGCAGTACTGATTGGGTCCAGGAAAGCTTCCCGGGAGGGGAGTCTAGGTGAGCTGTGTGGGGAAGAAGATGCCGGTGAGGCCTGACCAGTACTGGGTGTCCTGTGAGGGGCTGGGGGTCAGGGAGGCCATTGCTATCTCCGGGCCCTGCCTTCCGGGGCTTCTGCCTTTTGTCCCTGGGCAGCCTTGCACTTGGCAGCGGGCGGGATTACTAGGCCCCTGCTGTGTTTAGGAGCATAGTCCTAAGGAGGGCAGATACTTAGAACTGCGTCTTCAGATGTAGTCATCCAGTGGGGACTAAGCTGTTACTGCCCTGTTCCGGCTCAGAGACTTTAAGCAAATGGGCCCAGCTCTTTCAGCCACTTCAGAGGAGCTCGGATTTGAGCCAGTCACTTGGCCGCAGGGCAGGCATGGGTGTGGGCCTTACTCACCGTGCGGAGCTGCCTGGCCCCGTGCCTTCCCTGCGGCGGCGCAACCCCCAGAGCTGGTCAGGGCAGGCCACCCTTCCTGAGAGGCTGGGGAGAAGGTCAGGGAGGGGGAGGAGGGTACGACCTGGAGGCAGTGGCTTCGAGGCCTTCTGGCAGAGGGAAGGAACAGTGTGGCCACAGGTATGGAGAGCAGAACAGCCCAGCCACCAGCAGCGCAGAGAGCAGCGCAGCGAGACGGGGGCAGGGAGGGCAGGGGAACCTTCTAGACCTTGGGCAGTAGGCTGCTTACCTTTCACCCTGTGGCCACCTCAGGCCAGTGAAGGATTTCTGTGCGGCAGCGACAGGTGAGTGTCATACCTGGGCTCCCACGCGGGAAAGGGGTGAGGCAGAGCCGGATTGGGGGCAGGGCGAGGCGGCGAGTGGTAGGTAATACAGGGAAGGATGCCGACGTCGGATGATGGCGGCAGGGAGGTGGGGGCTGGGACGTGGAAACCTGTTGGACGATGGGAGGGAGGTCTGAGGGGGCCGGGGAGGAGAGGTGTTGTGTGAAGGGGGCACTCAGCAGGGGGACCACCCCCCTACCAGAGATGGCCCACCCACTGACCTTTGTCCCTTCAAATCCCACAACCTGCCGCCCCCTGGGGGTCGCGGGCTGGGGCAGGGCAAGCGGCCTCCCTCCCTCCAGTTTCCCTCATAATCTCCCTCTACCAAGCTCCCGCTCGCTCACAGCCCTGTCCTCGATGACACGACAGCAGAAAGGGCCTTGCTTGTCTGGACACCGTCTCCCTGAGTCTTTTCGTTCTACAAGTGAGAGTTTCCCCCAGGGTCACCTGTGTGCACCCCAGTGAGTGGTCTCGAGCCTCCTGAGAGCCGCAGGTGGAGACAGCACCCAAGTCAGCGGCTGGGCTCTCGGAGCCTCTTGCAAATGGCTGGCCAACGGCTCCCCCGCGGGCTGCGGACCCTATTTCTCTTCCCTGCAGCCCCTCGCCATCAGGGCAAGCTGAGTCTCTGTCGCTACCCCTCGGTGGCCTCTGAGGGGGCTTCCAGGGCCTTGGTGGCCCCTTTGGTCCGCAGGGATGAGAGTCAGGTGTGAGCGGAGGTGGCCATACATCTCAGCTTGCTCGGGTGCCTGGTGTCCTGGGAGAGGCCCTGGATACCGGAGGGCCTGAGATTAACGACCACATTGTAAGAGAATCTGGTAGAGAGCCCCATCTCCAGGGCAGACCGACTGTGTTTCAGGCCCGTGGACAAGGGCAGGGCAGGCCAGGGCCAGCAGGTTCTGGAAGCCCGGGGCTGGACCTGGAGGCCAGTGGGCATGAGCCGCCTGGGCTGTTGGTGGCCATAGGGCCCGTGTTAAAACAAACCCTGAGACACTCGCCCAGCACATCTCCGGATAAAGCTCACCCACCTGTCCTGACCTGCCCAAGGGCACAGCAACTCCGACCCAGAAGGCCAAGGGTTTTGCTAGAGTTCTTTTTTTTTATTTTTAATGATTATTTATTTATTTGGGGGCAGAGGGGCAGAGAGAGAGGCGGGGAGAGAATCCTAAGCAGGCTCCATGTGGTCAGTGCAGAGCCCAACGTGGGGCTCGATCCCACAAACCATGAGATCACGGCCTGAGCCAAACTGACTGAGCCACCCAGGCAGCCCCAGGAGTTCCTCTGATGAGCTGCTGAGAGCTTTGCCCTTTTCCTTAGAAAATGCATGTTTATGGGGCGCCTGGGTGGCTCAGTCGGCTGAGCGTCCGACTTCGGCTCAGGTCACGATCTCGCGGTCTGTGAGTTCGAGCCCCGCGTCGGGCTCTGTGCTGACAGCTCAGAGCCTGGAGCCTGTTTCAGATTCTGTGTCTCCCTCTCTCTGACCCTCCCCCGTTCATGCTCTGTCTCTCTCTGTCTCAAAGATAAATAAACATTAAAAAAAAATAATAAAAAAAATAAAAAAAATAAAATGCGTGTTTGCACATGTGTGTGCACATATGGACACCTGCATGTTTTTTAAGGGTTTTGAGGACGTCCCCTGAAGTCCTTCCAGAAATTTCAGGTGAGCCCCCACCTCCACCTGAGAGGCATTATACAGAGTGGGGTCAGACCTCCTCAGGCAGGCTATTTAGTTTCCCTGACCCCACTTCCCTTATCTTTAAAGTAGGACTAATCATAGGGATGCCTGGGGGGGCTCAGTCAATTAAGTGTCTGACTTCAGCTTGGTCATGATCTCGTGGTCCATAGGTTCGAGCCCCAGCTCAGAGCCTGGAGCCTGCTAAGGATTCTGGGTCTCCCTCTCTCTCTCTGCCCCTCCCCCACTCACATACTGTCTCTCTCTCTCTCTCTCTCTCTCTCAGAAATAAATAAACCAAAAAAAAAAAAAAAATTAGAAGACCAATTAACCCACCTCATAGAGTTGTTGTGGGGAACAGATGAGAGTTACGTAAAGCACTGGGCACAGTGCCTGGCATGCAGTCAGAACCCAAAACATGGTTAAAAGAGAAAAAGAACACAAAAAGAATTCTTTCTCTCCACCATGCAAGCCTGCATGTGGGTAGAGAAAGGGCTGGGAGTTAGGAGAGAGGTCAAACCTCAGTCCTGTCATTTGTGATTCCCGTGACTATGCCTCTCCGGGCCTCAGTTTTCTCATCAGTATAATGGGCTAGTGACTCTCTTATCCATATTATGTAGGTCCTCGGGATTCTCCATACATTGTCTGACGCCTGAAGCCTCACAGGTTAAGGAGGTAAGGGGTTGGGAAAGCATCCCCAGCGGTTGTCTCGGCCAGGCCCTAGAGTCAGGCATGAGCTTCTGAGAGAAAGAGAGGGTTGGAGGGGTGCGGCATTCCTGGCCCAGACCAGGTTTGGGCTGTAGTTAGGCAGGTACCATGATCGGGAGGGTATTGACCCCAAGGGGGAACCCACCTTACTGGTCATGGTTGAGTTTTGGCCACATGGATGTTGAGACAGTAGAGACAGAAAAGTGTGTGTGTGTGTGTGTGTGTGTGTGTGTGTGTGTGTGTGTGTTTATACAGCTGCAAACGTTTGGATAACATCTGCGTGAATGCACAGGTTTTTGGTGCTAATCAACATGCATATCAATCTGCCATCTTTGAAAACATTTTTTTAAACATTTATTTATTTTTGAGAGACAGACAGAGACAGAGCATGATCAGGGGAGGGGCAGAGAGAGGGAGACACAACCCGAAGCAGGCTCCAGGCTCTGAGCTGTCAGCGCAGAGCCTGACGTGGGGCTCCAATTCATGGACCATGAGATCATCATCTGACCTGAAATCAAGAGTTTGGGACGCTTAACTGACCGAGCCACCCAGCACCCCGTAAAACCCACTCTTTAAAAGGGCACAGTTGAGGGGCGCCTGGGTGGCTCAGTCAGTTAAGCGGCTTTGGCTCAGGTCATGATCTCGCGGTCCGTGAGTTCGAGCCCTGCGTCGGGCTCCGTGCTGATTGAGCCTGGAGCCTGTTTCGGGTTCTGTGTCTCCCTCTCTCTGACCCTCCCCTGTTCATGCTCTGTCTCTCCCTGTCTCAAAAATAAATAAAACGTAAAAAAAAAATTTATAAGGGCACAGTTGAGTGGTTGGTTAGTCTATTGACCAAGTCATATAACCGTCACCACCACATCTTGAATCTCGGTGGCTTCTGAGTGATGCCCGTGTGCACACCCTTATTTGGTTATGACAGGCATGTTCGGCCTTCTGGAGGTGCTGCTCGCCCCCACGTGGCCCTACGGTCACATCGGGTGTCTTGCTTGACCCCCACCCCCCCCTCCCCGGCCGAAGGTCATCTCGGGGCCACGTGCTGTGCTGGGCTCCAGGGACAGGGCGCCGAGGGCTCTGGGCACGGGCCCTGCCGGCACCACGTCGAGGCGGGACTCCAGACACTGAGCTCCTGTCCTAATGGAGCTGGCCCTGCCAC